GCATGATATCATTTACATGTGAAATCTAAAAAAGTTGAACTCACAAAAGAGAAAGAACAATGATGGTGCCAGGCACCGGGGGAAGTGAGGAGGGTGTACAAAGAGACACTGGTTAAAAGGTACAAAAATCCAATTAGACTGGAGCAATAAGTTCTGGAGATCTATCACAGTGTGGTGACTATAATTAGTAATGTATTATATACTTGAAAATGGTGAAATGTTCTCACCATAAAAACAGGAAAAGTATGTCACATAACAGATATAGTAATTCACCTGATGCAATCATTTCACAATATGTACACGCATCAAATCATCATGCATACCATAAATACACACAATTTTTTTCAATGATATCTTAATAAAACTGGATGGGAAACTGACAGTAAAAAAATAACCTAACTGCAAGAGGTAGAAAAGATTAACAAAGGAGATTCATAATTAAAATGTCTCCATTAGGCCAGGCCCAGTGGCTCGGAGGCCGAGGTGGGCGGATTGCCTGAGGTCAGGAGTTTGAGACCAGCCTGGCCAACATGGTGAAATCTGGTCTCTACTAGAAACACAAAGATCAGTCAGGTGTGGTGGCAGATGCCTGTAATCCCAGCTACTTCAGAGGCTGAGGCAGGAGAATTGCTTGAACCTGGGAGGCAAAGGTTGCAGTGAGCCAAGATTACGCCACTGCACTCCAGCCTGGGCAACAAGAGCGACACTTTGTCTCAAAAAAAAAAAAAAGAGTCTCCATTATACGTCTAAAAAGAAAAAAAAAGGCTCCATTATATGAGTTTAATAAATTTCTTCAAATCAGAGGAGATTTTAGTGGAAAATTCCATATATATATATATCCATCTGTGTGTTATCATTATGGAACCACATAACTGAGCAAATAACACAGCATTTCCTGAGCACTCTAAAAACATCATCATCATAATCACAGGTGATGTAATGCAGAATCTATTACCCAAAAGGGAAGAGTAACTTTTAAGTTAATTTTAAATTACTTTCTTCAAATAACTGAATTATCAATAGCTTAGCTAAGAATGAAACTGCAATGTAATACTTGAGAGTAGTCAAGGGCAATTGTTTGACAATTTTGAAAAACATTTTAAATATCTACTTTTTAATAAGTGACATATTGTTTAGCTTCCCTATTTTAATTTCAAAAAGAAGTACTTCTCTTTGGATGTAATGTATGCCATATTGTAGCAGTGAGAAGAATAGTTGCTTTGATTTATAAAATACACATTTATAAAAACAGATGAAAAGAAGTATCTTTGATGCTAAGGATGGAAATTATTTTCCCTGGAATCCCTTATACTTTTAAATGGTATGCACACTGATTAAAAACTCTCCACAATTTCCATCCACATATGGACTTGTGTGGATTTGCATGGATGTATCTGAAATAAATAATAAAAATGCTCTTCTTATTTTGTCTATACCTTTACTCAGCTTTTTCACTGATTCAAATAGAAAATAAATGTAAATTTTTAAGTACATATTTTCTTTTTTTTTTTTTTTTTTAAAGAGATGGAGTCTTACTATCCCGGCTTACCCATGCTGCAGAGCACTCCGCAGTCATAATATACTAGAACCTCTAACTCCTGGGCTCAAGCGATCATCCTGCTTCGGCCTCCCAACTAGCTTGGACTACATGCGTGTGCCACCGTGAGACCGGCTAGTGTACATTTTCCATAATGAAGAATGGCATAAACCTTACCCTGAAAAGTAGAATATTCTTTATCCATATGTTTATTTATCTGAACTAATTTATATACTTAATAAAATAATAAACAGAATCATTCTTATTCCTTTTCCAACAGTCACTTGCCTGAGATCTATGCTTCAGAGAAGAAATGGCAATATTGTATGAAGCTGCAGATTTGAAATGGGCAGCTAGCATCAAACCCCCAATGAACTAATAGGTAAGCTAACTGAAAAATGACCATTGTGCAAGGAAGTTTGTGTCATCCACATCCTTGCTACCAGAAGCAACATTTTTTTTCTACAGCTATATGGTATATTTCTTTCCTTAGAAGGCATTAATATATTCAAATTTTGATCTGATGTGACAAAGAAATAGGAAAAAATATCAATTAATGAACAAGACAATCAGGATGCCTTGAGATTAGGTTAGAAGCACATTAAGTCACACTCAAGAATAAGATATTATATTGTGGATTCCTACCTATCATCAAGTCTCCCTTAATCAAGTGCAAAATGTCAGCCTGACCTGAACAAGTTCAGGAAAGACTTTTGAATTGGAGGATAAATACAATTACTAATTGAGCCATAAATGTATTGTTTTCCCTAAATGAAGCGAAATGCTAAGTCAATGGAGAGAAATGAAGACTGAATGCGTATGTGCGCTATGGTAAAAATATTAATTTCCAATTTCATTTCAAACTTCTTCAAATCAAGTATAAAGCTACAGGCCCTATATCAGATTAATCTATTAATACATAAACAAAAGATTGTTCCACATAATGGTCTTGATAGCTATAAGAAGCTCCAAATTAAATAAGCAAACAAAATGGTTAATTCTTTCAGTGTCAGTATTTAGTTTCATATCAGCTAAATACCAGGTCAACATAATCCACCCATCTGAAATGAAACCAAAGTTCACTTCTCCCTTTTTTGTTCCCTACAAGATGCTCTAGCTAACACACCATATTTGGAAAGATTATATAAATTTTTAAATCCTGTGTAAAGTGGAAGTAAACTTGAATCTTTCTTATGACCTACTAAATAAACAACCAGAAACTGACAATACACTCTGATGTATTTAAAATTAATGAAAAACAGTGAGAAAACCCTCCCCTGAAGATAAACTTTCTACTTAGATAGGAGAAATGACTTAGACAGTAGAGCAAACAATACAAAATAGATAGGACTCAAAGAAAAGCTCTATTACCAATTTTAGCAATACCAGCAGAAAACAATTAACAACAAATCTCTATATTTACAGAGAAACAGATGCTATTTATAAATACATTTTAAGAAACCAGAGCAAAATACTATTCTCTCTATTCAAATAAAAAATCTACATTTTTATTTCATTTCTCAACAGATTTGTTTCTAAGAAAAATCTCATTTCAAAATGTGGCTTGGCTCACATAAACACATACAAAGGCAACTTAAAATAAAAGGAATGCTATTCCTCCAAAGGTCAGAGGATGAAATAAGATGAAAGCCATAATTTGATTATTCACCAGAAGCAATTATCCTTATCTGGGAAGACAGAGGAGGGCAGTCACTTTACATTATACTTTACCTGGGCTAGGAAAAAAAGAATGTTAAATTGTCCAGAATTTTATAGCAAAGGATAAGGGCAAAAGACTGGCATGTATCTTTCATTAAAAACATAAATTTGCAAAATTAATCTTAAATTTCACATTCAAATATGGTTGAATTGTGGGAAATATTTACAAAAAAGTAAGAAAGACAGATTTTTTTTTTTTAAACTAGGAAAAGAGCTTTATTAACCTTGGTTTCAAACTTGATTCCCAGGCTTCTTCGGCTTAATTAGCTGCAAGGAATGAATTGTGTATAAACAAAAAACTGAAAAGAGCTGCAGTGTCCAAAGGGCTTGGGCTTAAAAATATTCGAGATCTAGAATTTATCAGATCCATACACAAAAATTTCTTAAAAAGCAGTCGTAATATAAAATAGCAGCTCCCTGTAACTTCTTCAAGTTTTATCTTCAGAAGTTGACTCAATTCAGTTTGTCTCATTCTTGGAAGCCTCATCAAAATTCTCCACAAGATCTGGAACTTCATCATCATCCTCCTCTCCAGGAGCAAGTGGAGCTTTTCCATCCACAGACTGTTTGGGCAGAGCTTCAGCCAGTCTCCTTAAACTACAGACTGTCTGCCCCAAGCTGGTTTAGGATGCTGGGTGGCATTTCTGTCAGCTGCTTTGTCTCAGCATGGCCTGTAATGGTGAAAGTGTTCACTGCCAGAGATGCCTGAATTTTAGGGTTGTTAAAGTGGATCACTGCTCCTTGTTTTGTAAACATATTCACCTCTTCAATACCAGAGATATTGTTTACCCCTATGAAACCACAGGGGTAACCAAACTTCATAGGGTAAACTTAACTTCTTTAAGGAGAACTGGAGTTTTTTATCATCTGCTGTGGCTGTTCTATGAACCACCTTCTTCTTTCTGTGAGCAGTACCTTTCCCACTAATGCGCACTTGTGCCTGCAGTTTGGCGAGCTTTTCCTGGTTCATGATTGTTTCTTTCATCTTGTCAGAGTGGATAGGGGTCGTGCGGGGGACTAGGGTTGGTGCTTAGGGGGGTCTCAGGTGGACCAGCTGAGATTAGGTGGACACCCAAAGACAGATTTAAGATAAAATAAGTGTATAGATCTAGATGGGTATATATTAAAACATTTTGTAGGTAGGTTTTATATATATATATATATATATATATATATGGATATATAATTAGTATAGCTTTCTGCAAACATGCATATACTGATGTAAAACTCCAAGCTGGCATTCCACTGGCACCACCTATGTTCGTATAACCATTTTAACTTACACACATAATTAATGATGGCACTCACTACCATTCTTGGTTCCATTTGTCCTGTGATAAAGAATTCTAAGATAGCCCCCAAGATTTCCACCCCAAGGTATATATACCTTGTACAGTTCTTTCCCCTTGGATGTTGGTAGGACTGTGAATATGATGGGTTACCATCCACATAATGTTACATTACATGGCTAGGAAGGGTTTTCACAGATGCAATTAAGGTCCTATATCAGCTGACTTTGAGTTAATGAAAAGCGGGATAACTTTTAGTGGCCTAATTTAATATTGTGAACCTTTAATTGGGTCAGAAGTCATAGCTAAAGCTCTCCTGCTAGCCTGGAAAAAGCAATTGTCATATTATAAACTGCCTATAGAAAGGGCCATGGGACAAGATTTGAGAGTGACCCTTTGGGGCTCAGAGAGGTTTCAATCCAACTGTTATCAAGAAAACAGGGACCTAGGACACCGAGACGAGCTGGATTGTATTTGGAAACAAGGAGTTTTCCCGTGTTGCAGACTAACAATGGACACTCAGAAGGACGTTCAACCTCCAAAGCAGCAACCAATGATATACATCTGTGGAGAATGTCACACAGAAAATGAAATAAAATCTAGGGATCCAATCAGATGCAGAGAATGTGGATACAGAATAATGTACAAGAAAAGGACTAAAAGATTGGTCGTTTTTGATGCTCGATGAAACCTGGGAATTCAGAGGAATGTCTTCACTTAGATTTGCTCTCTCAAAGTTTCTACTTGTTGTATAGCTTTCGATTTTGCATACAGTAGTTTCGCCTTCAAGGGATACATCCCAAGGCCCCCAGTGGACTCCTGAAACCTCAGACAGTACCAAACTTTTATACACCTTTTTTCTATATATACATACCTTTTTTCTATATATACATACCGACGATAAAGTGTAATGTATAAATTAAGCATAGCAAGAGATTAATAAAATAGAACAATAACATACTGTAATAAAGTTATATGAATGTGGTTGGTCTTGCTCTCAAAATATCTTCTTATACAGTGTACAGTACTCACTTATTTTCGAATGTGGTTGACTACAGATAACTGAAACCACAGAAAGGAAACTTGGAATGAGTGAGGCACTGCTGTACTTAGGAATACAACTATATACATATGATTTGATTTTTAAGACCATATTGTATTTATCTAATATTTTGTGTAAAGCAATTTTTTGTTCCATTACATGACTTTTTGTTTTATTCTATATGTAATCTGACACACAAATAACGGTAAAGTTGCTTACCCAAACCATACTTTTAATTAAAACCTAGAATCATCTGCGGTGCTTGTTAAAAATGCAAGTTTCTAGAACCCTCTGAAGTTGTGATTAAATAAATTTATTGGAAACCAAATAAATAATAAAAAGAAAACAGGGACCTTAGTCATTGAGCCACAGGAATGCTGAATTCTGCCAACAACCTTGAATGAGTCTGAGAAAACTCCCAAGCCTCAGATATGACCATCTCCCAGCCAACACCTTTATTTCACCCTGAGCAGAGACCCAGATCATTTGAAAAAATATCCTGACCCACACAGGGTGTGAGATAATAAAGTTGTGTTATTTTAAGCCACAAAGTTTGTGGTAATTTGTTACACAGCAATAGAAAAAAGAACAAACAAAAAAAAACTCTAAAATTTTAATTTTCTCTTTACCACATCATCTACAATCGATATTTAATAAATTTGGATGATAGGGAAAGTAATAGAACCACTTAAAGATGTGTGAAAATCTAGAAGACTTGATGATGGTAGGGAATAAACTGGTGAGTTTAACAATGGATGTGTTGGCTAGGCTCAGTGGCTCACATCTGTAATCCCAGCACTTTGGGAGGCTGAGGTGGGTGGATCACCTAAGGTCAGGAGTTCAAGACCAGCCTGGCCAACATGGTGAAACCCTGTCTCTACTAAAAATACAAAAAGTAGCTGGGCATGGTGGCAGGTGTCTGTAATCCCAGCTACTTGGGAGGCTGAGGGCAGGAGAATAGTTTGAACCCAAGAGGTGGAAGTTGCAGTGAGCCAAGATCGTACCACTGCACTCCAGCCTGGGCAACAGAGCAAGACTCCATCTCAAAAAATAAAAATTAAGAAAAAACAATAGACATGTTGATCTTGAAGTGATAACAGAAATTCAGGCCCTTTGAGAAGGATGCAATTGGAACTGGCGGTGTGGGGAGAATTCTCATGAACGAGGTCAGGCTTGCAAATATCTACAGAAATAGGGTTGAGCTGTGATGATGAGTGGGAGAGTGAAAAGGACATTGACTCAGGCTTGGATACGTCCACATTTAGAGAGGGAAGATGTGCTAAAAAGAAGTTGGAGGAAAGGAATAAAGAATTACTATTAAGAGTTGAGGACGAGAGAATCAATCTTTCAAGTGCCCACAGAGAAGCCAAGGACAAAGAAAGGTCATTAAGTTTGAAGCCTAGTATGTTACTGGTATCGTGGCAATAGCATATTCAATAGAACAACACAGATAGAAGCAAGACAGTGAGAAAAAGAAAAGTGGCTCGTTGTTTCTTTCTTTTTTAGATAGGTAATAAATGCCAAACTGTAATCACCACTGGTCATATTAAACACAGACACACAGACATATACACACACACGCAAACATGAATGAAAAACATTTCAACCATATATATATTATCTGTCCCTGTCCTTGCAATCCTGATTAATTGCAAAGATACAGAAACAAAGTCAAGTTCAGATTATAGCCCCCATACACCAAATTGTTTTCTAATGTAAAACTCCTTCTCATAAACTTGATGATTATGACTGCCATCCTTTACAGATCCATACGCTTAGAAAAATCTGGAGCTCTTCAGTTGGGTTAAGAATGTATTATGAGACTGACACAGGAGGATGACGTGAGCCCAGAAGGCTGAGACTGGCCTGGGCAACACAGTGAAACCCAATTCTCTACCAAAAACTAAAAAATTAGCCAGGCTTGGCCTCGCATGCCTATAGTCCTAGCTACTCGAGAGGCTGAGGTGGGAGGATTGCCTGGAAGTCATGGCAGCTCTGCACTTTAGCCTGAGCAAAAGAGTGAGACAAGAAAAGAAAGAACGAAAGAAGAAAAGAAAGAAAGGAGGGAGGAAGGGAGGGAAGAAAAGAAGGGAGGGAGAGAGAAAGAGAGAAAGAAAGACAGAAAGAAGAAAGAAAGAGAGAAAAAAGAGAGAAAGGAAAGAAAGGAAGAAAGAAAAGAAAAATATAATTCAGTTACTATGTAGAATAGCAGAGATGTATCTTTCTGTTTATGTGACTTTTTTTTTTTTTAGAGCATGCTTATAATTGGAAGCTCCAGTCTAAAATCCAGGGATTTTGTAGTTCATAAGGCAGCAAATATGTCTGACAACCATAAGCCAAAACATTCTAAAATTTGTACTATATGTTAAAAATTTGTACTATATGTTAAAAATCGGACAGAATAAGCTAATTTTTAATACATTTCTATCCTAAGTCAAAATAAGCCCATTATTCCTGAAACTTTTCACTTCATAATCTACATTCTCTCCCATAGACTAGATGGAGTATACTGATCTCTCCACAGGACGTGGAGAATGCTAAAAGTCATACTCATCAGGAACTGAGCTAGGTTCTAGAGAAACACAAAAAATTACAAGATGTTTTCTGGTTTCCCAGCACTTACAATCAAGCAACTCATAACTCCTGAACGTGTCCATGCTGGCTGAGATATGTCATGATGTCCATGGGGTACAAAAAACTGCTTATGGGATATAAGTTCAGAATTAATCCCATTATCTTTGGTTTATCAAGCTGTCCAGCAGGCATTTAAGACTTCTCTAAATATTGGCACAAGGTTTCCCACTGAAAGTCGTAAAGAAATGGTACATATGGCTATATTATCAAAGCAAATGAAATTTATTCAGTATTAAGAGAAACTCCCAGAAGAGAGAGTGAGTATGTGTATAGGTTGTAGAGAGCAGGTATGATTATCCAAAAGCTTCCTGTGAAGGGAAAGATGGTGGGCATGTACCAAACATCATTCTTCATCAACCACAGCAGGGTTTAAAGGTTAACATATAGATATAGTTATGAAGTAAGCTCTTATCCATAGACAAAACAAAAAAACAAATAAAAGACATCAAGACAGACCTAATGGAAACTGGGTAGCAAGCCAACCTATGGGAAATTAGACAGCAGGCAGACTTAATGAAAATTAGACAACAGGGTGAAAAAATCAATATATGTCCTCTCATCTTTCCCTTTTCTTTCTTGCATATGTCAACCTAGGGTTTAGATTTTCATTTTTGCCCTATCCCGTGAAACAGAGTAAATGGAGATAATTCTGTAGAATGCATAGGATAAGTTCAACAAAGAATAAGAATTACAATTACATTTAAAAAAATAACATTCTTAAGAGCTTTGATTTTTAAAAAAAACTATCATATCATCACTAAATATTTCCAAATGTCAAAAACATCTCAAATCCACTAGAAAACTAGGCTATAAAAAAGTGTCCACCCTTTGATCTACTAATTCCATTACTTAGAATTTTTCTCAAAGAATCCCAAAAGAGAGGCTCTAACGCACAAATATATTCATAATAGCATCATTTATAAAGTTCAAGACCGAAAATAACATTAAAGTCCAACAAAAATGTGAATTCTTTTGCAACTTATGCAACATCACCAAATTGTAGCCATAAATTAATGTGGAATACATGGAAATGTTTATGACAAAAGTCAAATGGAGAAGGCAGACTACAAATTCTACCCAAGTAGGATCAAAATGACATGACATAAAATACATTAGTCTCATTGGGAAAGGAAAAGAAAGAAAAGAAGGAAAAGCCAATTGTTTTCTTCAGAGGGTAAGATTATATAGGAGGAGGCTCTCTTTTTATTTCTGTTTTTGTTATAAATTGCAGGCATTTTATACAAAATAAGACTCAAAAATTGGTGAATGAATCAAGAGAGTTTTTCATTTTATCCTAATTCACATATTTCTCACAGATAGGGCAGGAAGGAAGGATAAGAGAGAACAGTTATTAAAATCAAAATAAACTATGGGCTTAATTTATCCAAAGGTTTTATACCAAAGGGAAAACAGATACAGACAATATTGTTTATTCCCGTAAAGTGCTAAAGTAAGGAAACATCCTTATATCCGTGCTCTGTTATTTTGTTAATGTATTATTAATGAATTGCCAAATATTATAAATAATAATAAATATGGTGATAAAGTGGTTTGCTATATTAAAACTAGGATTGTGAAAAATATTTTACATCTTTACTCCTTTTCATGTCCGTCCCCAGCCCTCATGAGAATGCTGCAACAGAAGAAAGATATTATTTTTTTCCCATCAAAAGAATTGAGTGAGTAAAGACATTCACACTAGAGGATTTCTGAACTTTGGGAGGGGCAACAAACCTTGCATCAATTACAACTCTGGGTTATTTTCTTTCTTTAGTGAAGGTTTGAGCAATTTCCAAAAGAAAAATGAAGAATTATGTAGAAAAAAAGCAGTGAAAACTACTGTATTTTAAATACCCATGCAGAAATTATTTCCAAATGTGTGAGAAGCATAAAAAGTACTAAGCTACTTATTTTTCATTCGCATTTATATTTAATTTTGCCAGCTAGTCGGCAACTTAAAAGCTTTCTGCAACAATCAAGATTATGTGATGATTATTCATAAATATTATCTATTTGACTTTCTTCTAC